AATTCATAGTTTATATTAGAAATCAAATTAATTTGTTTAACTCCAGTGTAAGAAGTAGTTAGATTAGCTCTTCATTTTCAATATTTTTCCTCATTAAAATTCTCACGTGTTTTCTATTGTTTTCATTTTTTAAAAATTTCAAAGATAAACATGATTTTTTTTTAATAATTAGATAAATAAATAAATAGCTTATCCCTCACAATCTATATTTAACACTCTAGCCTTACTATACAAACTACTACGTGCCATCAATTGTAAATAAATATACGCTTAAAGCCAATATACGTGTAGTAAATCATATATATATATAGTTTCAAATTAACTGCCAAAGTACCACTTTTTTTTTATAGTAAAAATAAAATAAAAACAGAAAAGGATATTGTAAATTTTGATTGTACAATATGATGTGTTTTTCAATTGATATTAGTGGCGTATATTGAATTGATCCATAAAAAAAAAAAAAAACGTTATGAATGCTATTAATTGTTTATCCTTTGCAATAAATTATGCGAAAAAATTTTATATTGGTTGTTGTGATTAAAATTTTTCTTTGAAATTCTAAAAAAAAAAATCAAATAAAAATTAAATAAATTGCTATATTTGTGTGTCCGTGTATGAACTCATGGAACACGTTTTTAATTTCTAAAAGTTGAAAAAGTTGAGAAAAATCATAAAATGAACACATTCTCTCTTTTATTTAACAAGAAGGAAAACTGAAAATAAATAAATAAAATGAACATAGAAAATTTGAAAATTTATTTTATACAACCAAAGGTGTATGTCCGTAATTTTGACGGTATCTTTAGCATTTAGTTATAAATTTGATAGATTTTACATTATGATTATCATCTCAGAGTATTGGATGTGTAAAGAGAACATTGAACTCTGTATAGATTTGATTTTATATATGTATATACACTCCATCACTTTATTCTAAATTCTGACTTCTAACATATATAGTTCCGGCAGTTAAGGAAAAAAAAGGAGTTAAATGGAAGCAAAACACAGTTATCACATTCAAAAAAAAAATAATAATAATAATAAAAAATACATTTTCACATGGTATTTCACACCCTTTTTTCTTTTCTTTTACAAGGATCTAAATTTATCACTCCAAGTCAGGAATTACTATATCAGAGCATATTTGCTTGTAGTTTTTTTTTTTTTCCAAAGTAAATATTTTGAAGGAAAGATTTAAATTTGGACCTTCTTTTATATAATATCTACTGCACAATCAATAAAGAGTTTGAGGAATTATTCAGTATATTTGAAAATATATTTTTGTCTTAAAAAATATAGAATTTATAAATTATTTTTATAATAGATCCTATATTTTTGTAAGAGAATAAAGTATAATTATTAGCATACTTAATAATTATTTTAGAGAATCGTCTATGATGCATGGTGACTATAACGAGAGTCCACGATAAGCATGCGAGGGCGTCCTCGTTGTAACATTTCGATTGTCTTTTTCTTAAAAAAGTACGGATAGTTGGTGGGCCACTTGTCTCTGAGGAATATTCTACAGCCGGCTTTAGATCCTTCCCTAGATAACCGCGGCAGATGCCAATGTCAGAAGCAGCATTGTACCGCGACTTTCATCCAGGTGGCTTAGTATTAACCGTCAGTTTTACCGTCCCGTCTTTTCCGGTGGGACTGTTATAACTATCGAAGCCAGCATGTTTTTCTCTCTTTTTTTAATTAAAAAAAAAAGCTGTGCATGGATTGCGGTTTGATAGGATATTTCAAGAGTAAATTATAAATTAGTCCTTTTAGCTTTAAAAAACAAATTAATTAAACTCCTTTATTTTAAAAAATATTATTTAATATTTTTATCAATGTTGAAGACACTTGTTTTAATATTATTTTTATACAATAAAATATTTCTTTTTATCAATCTTTTTATATTTTTTAATTTTTTAATATAACAAATCAAAATATATTGAAAAAGAGTAAAAAGACCTAAACTATAAATAAATTTAGAAATATAAACATTAAATGATTAGTTTTTTAAAAAAAAAGACTAATTAATTCATTTCTCGAAATAAAAGACACTAATTTATGATTTACTTGTTATTTCAAGACATTAAAATTATAATGTTTTTTAAATTTACAAAATAAAAAGATAGTGTTTGACATATAATAAATATAGATATTTATTATTTTGTAATTACTTGTGATTTATTTTACAACTTAAATAGTATATACTAGCTAGTTGCTCGAGACGAGTCCAAGTAAAATAAAACTATTTTAAATTTTTAAATTTTTTAATTATAATATTTTTTTAATTAATTTTTTCTAATGTTTTTATAAATTAACAAAGTCTTAAGTCATATAAGAATAGATACGAGATATTTCGATAGAGCTAGTATCCATGTCTTGTTTTTTGAATACATCAAAAAATTGGTTTGATGGGTTAGAAGTATGATTTGGTAATAGAAAGCCAAAATAGTACTTTATGTAGTTTCTTTTTTAAAACAAGTTAAAACAATTTAGCTAAAAAAATCAACTTTTTTCAACTTAAATTTGACCATCCAAACATGGATGACGTGGTAAGATCGTAGCAGTCGAGAATTATTTTTAATTTATTACAATACCAATCTTACATTATTACAAAGGGATTCTAATTTTTTAATCATTAAAAAAAAAAACTTCTAAATATTCTCTTTTGAAGTTCTTTAATTCATATACCGAGACAATATCTAAAACTCTATTTATATAGATTGACTTTGACTATTCGTTTGTCTATTACTCGACTTGTGTCTTATTAGTGTTATTTATGTCTTCTCTCGCACCTCTCACTACTTGAATTCTTCTGCTTTATTGATTAATTGTTGTTTTTACAAATCACAATACTAAATTTTTGTATCTTTTTGTATCTTGACTAATTTACTTACTAGTCATTTTCTCAAGAACTCTCTCCCCATACAAATTATAATGTATGAAGAATGATATTGATATGAGATATGGTTATGCTATGATATGAATGTTATGCGTAACTTCTTTGAATTTGTTATTTGAATGGAAAGGGGCAATATACGTGTGTGTGTTATTTGCCCAAAAAAGAAAAAACTTGCAAATTTTTTTCCATTAATTCAAGCACAAGATATATCTCATGCCCGTGGATATATTACTAAAAAAAGTAAACAACTCAATCTATTATTATATAATAGTGTGAGTAAATTCAATTTGTTTTTAGATTTTTAATTGAAATTATTATATTTCTAAATAATATTGAAGTTTTTCAATTTTTTTATTTCGATCAATTTTTTTCAACTATGAGTGAATTTTTTTATTTAAATACCTCTAATTGAAATACAAAAATATAAAATAAAATTAATGACCTCAAAAATAGAATGTCAAGTTATGTGACTTAAGTAGTTTTTCTCTCTCTCTCTTTTTCTCTTTTTTTTTTTTTTTTGACATTTTAGCCAAGAATATTTTGATCAAAACATTTGTCTATAGTTAGAAAAATTAATCGAAATGATTAACCGAAAGCTTCATAATAAATATAATTAAAAATAAAGGATAAATTAGAGACTTAGATTGTTATATAAAAACAATTGAGTTAATTAGCCTACTAAAAGTTTATATTTTATGAATTTTTATTTTTTTTTGTATGCTATTGAATTTATTTAAAAGTTGGTTAAAAAAAGCATAAAGATTACCATTACAGTGAAAGATAGTTTTAAGTGTATGTTATCTACTTAAAACTTCCACCAAGAAAACAAGTATTTTGTGAGATTTCATTTCAATGATCCACATAAGTCTAGCTATGTATCTCCTTATTTTCATCCTATTTGCTAACATAGTTTTGTCTTTTTCAAGCATTTTTCGAAAAATCCTCAATTGGCCTTTATATGCATATTTAATATCGATGCATGAATAGTAGAACATCCTAAACAGTAGCAACGTAAACAGCTTGATTAATTATTAATCTCGCTTTTAATAATAGTAATAGGTTGATACGCAATCTGGTAGTATTTAACACTCTCCAAACGGAAGTTTAAAAACTAGGAAAAACACCTTTAACTTTCAAGAGATATTTTTTTGTTACGAAACCATCTCTGTCATCGAATATGGACTTTATCATTAATTAATTCTTGACTTTTCTTTTTTAACATTTAGTTTTCATACATATACATATCAAAATCAAACAATTATTTTTAAGCAGTTTTCATCAATATAGCTAAACAATGAAAAATAAAATATTTATGAGAAAAAAATTGTTTTTTTTTTTAATATGAAACAAATGGAGCCTTAATTTGAAAGAAAAAGATAACCGTTTCCATCATACAATTGGTGTCTGCATTAAATACAAAGACGTGGCCTGGCCCTTGTCAAATTAAACACGAAATTTCCCAGAATCGAAGGTTACAACATTCACACGTGGCCGCATCCTTTCTTGCTACCTAAGCTACAGGCACAATCAAAATCCATCAATCTTCAAGATTTTCAAATTGTGATGGACGTAATTATTATTAGTTTTAAAAAGGTGGTTTGTGTATAATATGATTCTGTAAAACATTTGAAAGAAACTAAACACGTGTAATCAAATAGAAATTAGTGGTATTTTCATATTATTTCGGAGAAATTATTTAGGAGTCTTGGAATTCCACATCGGATAAGGGCCCTTTTCATTTATTATGTACCGTGTGTATATTTTTTTCATGTAGGATAAAACAAACTATTTCATTAAATAAAAGAAATTAACTCTTCATCTTCTCTCCTTCCTCTCGTTGTCTCTCTCTCTCTCTATGGGTGCTAAGAAAGCCTTCGTCTTCCTCCACCGTCTCTCTCTCCTTAAATAAAAGAATCTCTCTCTCTATGGGTGCCTCTTCCTCCATCGTCTCTCTCTCCTTTCTGCGTTGTCTGCTTTACACCAAAGGAGCAATAAAGCTCCATTTCAACCATGAAGCAGACAATTCCCTAGTATGTCCCTGTCATCATGAACAGACAACCATAGCTTTGCATATGCATTCCTTAGTGTTTCTTGATAGGAACAGGGGATGGAGCTAATGAGAGAAGGGAGAGAAAACGTAGAAGAAAAAGATCCTATGACACAAGTTAGATTTGTTTTCAAAATTATTCACACAATTTTAGGATGGTAACCCGTCTCCTCTCTCTCTCCTTTAGAAGAAAATTACGTGGAGTGACCCTTCCATTTGAATGTCTATTAGCGAGCAGTAACAAGGTTATGACTTATCTCAACTTCCATTGCTTACTTGGAGAGTTTGAGGATCTTCGAGGACATGACGGATAATAGTAGCAATAATATTATCAAATCTAGAAACGAGGCTACTTATTGGCAAGGAAGGAAAGAAGGAGAGAGAGACGGTGGAGGAAGATAAAAGTCTTTCCCGGCACCCATAAAGAGAGAGAGAGAGACGACGGAGGAAGGAGAGAAGATGAAGAGTTAATTTCTTTTATTTAGTAGAAGGGTTTGTTTTATCCTACATGTAAAAAAATATACACATGGCGAGATAATAAATAAAAGGGGTCCTTATCCGATGTGGAGTTCCGGGACCCTTGAATAATTTCTCATTATTCCAATAACTTTTTCCGAAAAGTAGCCTTCGTGGCCTCCTCGTGTAATAAGCAAACATGAGTGGCCTTCGAGTTCCTTTATGCGAGTTGCAATCGTAATATAATTGGTCTTTAAGATAAGATGAGATCTATCCCGGTTATGAAAACGAATAAAAAAGTAATGTTGAACTAATTTTTTTTAGAATCCTATGTGGATTAATATTGTCAAATCCGGGGTGATAGTTATCCAATACAGATTTTTATAAGAAATGTGTTGTCCGGACGCATGAATAATTTTATATTATTTTTTAATACATTTTTTAAGAGAGAGTTTTATAGACTTCAAATTTGTCTATTATCTTAAATCTCTCAAATAAAAATCTTTTAAACATAAAACTAATATAGATTTATCAACTGTCTTAAATTGGTAAGCAAAGCCTCAAGAATCATTATATTACTTGTCATAACCCAAAATTTTCCTCTTTTTTGTGTTATTTGTTTCTTATTTTATTTTATCTCATTTTACTTTATTTTGAAATTTACTACAAAAAAATGAAAAAAGAATAAAAATATATAAAATATAAAACACAAAAAAAAAAAAAATGATTGAGGAGATGATTCATCCCCTAATCCTAAAAAGCCCTCGTATAAATAACATTTTCCCTTCATTTTGCGGAGCTCCACAATTTTCTCTCGTAAATATATATATATATATATAAAAAAAACCTAGAGATGTAGTCTCTACCAAAAAGACCCGGTCGTAAGACTTCACTTGACCTACCCAAAAAAATTTAAAATAATCTAACCCCTTTCATCTTCAACCCAAGTCGCCTCCACTTTCACAAGAGCCCATCACAAACCAAGCCACCATCCTCCATGTCTCTAACTTCTCCCTCTCAAACATAGCCAAAACAATCACTAAGATACTAGTGCATCTCCTAAAAAATCCGATTGAAAACCCTTTCTTGACAATTCTCACCCAAGTGTCGGATTCTCTCTTTATTTTTCTCCCTCATCGAAGACTCACTAAAACCTCATGTCATCCTCACCAACTAATAGCCATCTTCACTCGTAGTAGCTAGCTCTAATAAATCTCGAACCCAATGGCCATTTAACACCATATATAGACCCACCGGTTTTACATTTCCTCATTCATCACAACAACTTTTCGGAGTTCCTCAACTTCTTTAGATACCAGTAGCAATCCACCCAAGTCAACTAAACCCATACCGAGCACAACTACCCTCACATCGAAAGACCCATGCTACCGATCCCCTCATATCACCAAGTTAGCCTCCTTATAGGCTTGAAACTTCAAACCCACCATCATTTTCACCCATATAAACCTCTCCCTCCTACTACCTTTGAAACCACACAAAGCCACCCGATAAAAACATTATCTTATATCTTTAATCTCTTTATATTTAGTTTATTTGCTATATTTTATGTCTTATTATGATAATCTATGCTCATGTTCATGTGGAAGACATAAACTAGGATTCTAGAATAATTGTGCTTAAAAGTTAGAGAATTCTAGCATGATTAACTTAGACCATCTAGAATTCCTACAAGTTTTCCAAAGCCTTGGAGTTGGATTTTGAAAGAAGTAACATTCGAAGACTTTATAGAAGACATTTTAAGCTCTCCAGAATGATATAATGGGTCAAAATCCAAGTTTGTTTGGCTCTTCAAATGATATTTAATATTTTGATCTAGAAAGTTAATCCAAATCCTATTCGGAGTCCGCATTAATTGTGGAGTTTAATTTATATCGAAGTTTTAGAACTTAAACCGATGTAAGTTTAAGCCTATGGAATACTTAAGAAGCATACCTATAATTTTTATGAAGGTTCTAAGTCCAAAATAGGTTGGTCTTATGAAAGAATTCAGCTGCAAAGTGGAATCCTAAGGCTGGACGGATAGGTTGAGTCGGTTACGATATTTAGTTCATAACTAAAGCTCGTGGATCTCCAATTGATGTAAGACTTAAAGCTTTATAAATATAAGAAATAGGGCTACAACTTTAATGAAGAAAGAAAACTCTAATTCGACATACATCAAGTCCATTTAAGCTAATTATTAAAGACCCACAAGCTTAATTTGCTTCGATCGCGTGTGTGATGAAGTAACCAAGACACACGGGCAGCACTAGAGACACAAGATGAAGCAATAATATACATGAGTAAGAGCTAGGGACATGAGATAAAGTAAAAAAATACACGGGCAGGAGCTACGGACACGAGATGAAGAGCAAATGTGACACGTATGGTCGTGTGCCTTAGTCAAACAAGTCATATGTCACCAGCTCTACAAGGCCCCAAACCATGTGTCTTCAAAGAGCAAACCATATGCCTAAATCAAGCAAGCCATGTGTCATGTTAGGTGTCCATGTGAGACAGTTATATGTGTTAAAACCCTACCTTTAGCTATAAATAGAGAAGTTAGAGTTTTACTTGATCCATTCATTTCAAGCAAACATAAATAGAAAAAAACTTTTATAAGCAAAACCATACAACACAAATACTCTTTCTTGGTTGAAGGAAAAATTGAAGCTTTGGTTAAATCGTCATGAGATATAAATGAGTTCTATTTCTAATCTAATTTTTTTTGATATTTTATATTTTTCTATAATATCCGAACATGATTATATTGATTGATCGATTAGAATGCATATTATTTGATTAATTTATGTAATCTATTGCTAGTTAAGAATTCCGAGTATGTGATTGCTTGTCTAGTCTTACATATGATAGTAACTAAGGATTAATGATTATAAATGAGTTTTTATTTAATTCTTTGAAAAAAATATACCTAGATTTAATTCTTCTAATGTGTAAGAGAGTTGTTTAGCTTCAACTATCTTTCTATTACTTAATGCTACCATTAGATTAAACCTAGATAGCTTGTACTAGATTGTTCAATAGTTAGAGATTAATTAAATAGTTTGTTTTGATTAACAAATCACTAAGGAAAGATTGAGAATAACATGTCTTGTTGTTGTTCTATAGTGAATATTCATAAAAAGAAAGGATTAGATTTGAATCAATGATCAATGATTGAACCAAAAGTAGAAACTTTCATTTAACTAAGGCTTTTATTACTCTTGTCTATCTCTTTATTTAATTTTGATTACCTTTACTACTCTCTACAAACAAAACCCCCCATTTTGTTTTTCTTGTACTTTAGGAATAATCGGACAATAGAGAAAAATTGAATGAATCGATTTTCTATGAGATCGACCCATGCTTAACCTAGCTACAATTCCGTAATTAGGTCTAGTGAGGAAAATAAATATATAGTTTTATGGTGGTATGAAATGCCATCACCACCCATCTTTTAACAACCATAAAGCTAACCACCTCTTGCAAACTAAAAAACAAACACCTAGTGTGCATACCTCTTAAAAACACCACTCATTGCCATATCTTACCTTCACAACCTCTCATTGAACATGCCACTACGAGTAGCTTCCTTTACACCACTATAGCTTGAAACTCTCTTTCTTAACCCACAAACAACCTCGGTTCTACCCTTCTCTCTCATACAATAACGAAAAAAAGCTCAATTCTCACCCCTCGTTGCAGTTGGCACTATTTGTAAGAAAAAGAAATAGAAAAGAACATGCCGGGGAAGGGGAAATCGATGGTGGTGTTAGATCCACTCGTCAATTTATTTTCGGAATGTCGATTTCCCCTTTTGCTACCCTATTTTTCCATATTCGGGGTAAAGATAAGAGGTAATAATAATGGCTTCAAAGCATATTTCGAAGGAACTCAAAGATTTACGAAGAATCCATCTATTTACTTGCAGTGTAAGTCCCGTAGTTGAAGACATGTTTCATTGGCAAGCTACGATAATAAGATCTACTTATAGTCTATATGTAGGAGAGGTATGTCTAGTTAGTATCCATTTTCCTCTTGGTTATCCTTTCAAGCCCCCTAAGGCTACATTTAGGACCAAGGCCTCTCATCCCAACATTACTAGTAATAGAAGCATTGTCTTGATATCCTTAAAGAGCAATGGAGTCTTGCTCTAACCATTTCTAGGCTACTTGTTCCTAGCCGAATGTAGAAACATGTCATGGGTTGTGGTTATCGAGACAATATGTCACCAAGGGAAAAGAAGGTCAAATGTGTATTCGTTGTGAAGGGATTGATACGGTTTGTTATTAATGAAGGGAAGCTACCATCTACTTACAATCGAATTAATTCGGATCCGATGCTAAATTGATGAGACTTTCAAATCTCGTAACCCGACGTTAATTTATTATGATGCCATAAACAAAAAAGATTTATAAAAAAAATGAGTTCGATGATTTTTTTTCTCACGTGTCTCGAAATAAAACAATTTTAGTTTAATTAAGAAAAAGAATAAAAAAGGAAAGAGTTTTAAGTAAATTCAACGAGTCTCTTATTCAATAGAGACAAACATTATTTATCAATTCAAATCAATAACTTTAGTAAATAAAGTGTTCTTCGACATATCAATTACATCAAGATTTAAAGTGGTACCAATGTTTGAACTTATGTATCTCCCAACGAAAAGGTCCGATGATTGGTTCAATACGATGCCACAAACAAAAATAAAAAACTTAGTTTGACATAGAAAAAAAACTTGAAAATTGATCGAGAAATATTTTGGTAAAAATAAAAATTTTTAGGAGATAAATTTTAAAACTAAACTAGACATAGTACATTTGTTAAGAAATAACGCTTTTGAGTTATTGATATCTTTCAAAAAGCACAACCAACTCCTTATCCTTGAATCTCTACACCAATATCCATTTTAGATTTCAAGTTTCATTAATACTAGGAGACGACTACAAAATCAATAATAAATCATATCTTCGAATAAATTGTAAATAATCGAATAAAACAAAATCTTAAATAATTTTTTTCGGAGTCCCGTCCAATGTTGGGTAGCGACATTACTCATTAATACACTTCTTCAAGTAAAAATCACCATTTAGTTATTAAAATTTTGATATTATGTCAAAAAAATCAATTAAGTTGTTAAGCAAGCCTCTAATGATAATTTTATATTAATTTTTAACACTCATAAAAAAATATTATCAAAAGATTTATGGAGCTTTAACTAAAAATCATTTTTCCATGCTCATCGATAATTGGAGTTAGGAGTGAGCACTATTTAGTTTAAACCAAATTGAATCAAAATATCAATTTTTGTTCAGATTTTAACTCAAAAATTGTTTATTATTATTATTATTATTATTTGGTTCGGTTCAATTTTTCAAATTTTTAGATAGGTTTAAACCAAAAATTGATTTTTTTAAAAAAATTTTAAATTTTTAAATAATACAAATCAATCAACATGTCAATGCCTTAACATTATTAGAAAATTTTGATATTATGTCAAAAAATCATTTCAATCTAAAAAATCAATTAAGTTATTGAGCAAGCCTCCAATAATAATTTTAAATTACTTTTTAACACTCTTAAAAAAATATGATCGAAAGATTTATGGAGCTTTAACTAAAAATCATTTTTCCTTGGTTATCGATAATTGGAGCCGGGGTGAGCACTATTTAGTTTAAACCAAATTGAATCAAAATATCAATTTTTGTTAGATTTTTAACTCAAATATCGGTAATTATTATTATTATTTGGTTCGGTTCAATTTTTCAAATTTTTAGATAGGTTTAAACCAAATATTGCTTTTTTTTTTTTAATTTTTAAATAATACAAATTAATCAACATATCAATACCATAAAATTATTATAAAATTTTGATATTATGTCAAAAAATCATTTCAATCTAAAAAATCAATTAAGTTGTTGAGAAAGCCTTTGATAATAATTTTATATTACTTTTTAACACTCTAAAAACATATTATTGAAAGTTTTATGGAGCTTTAACTAAAAATCATTTCTCCTTACTTATCAATAATTGGAGTTAGGACTAAGCGCTATTCGAGTTTAAACCAAATTGAATCAAAATATCAATTTTTGTTTGATTTTTAAATTAAAAAAACAATTATTATTATTATTACGTTCGGTTCAATTTTTTTAATTTTTAGATAGATTTAAACCAAAAGTTGATTTTTTCCATTTTTTTTATTTTTAAATAATACAAATTAATCAGCATATCAATACCTTAACATTATTATAAACATATGATGGATTTATGGTGTTTTTTTTTATCTATTTATATTATTTTAAAAAAATCAAAATTAAAAAAATAGTTTAAATTGAAAACCAAAATTTTGATTTTTAAATAAAAAAAACAGAATAATAATTTGATTGGTTTTTGTTTTTATAAGTTCTATTAACGAAAAACCGAATTAAAATTATTAAAAATCAAATAACTTACTTAAAACTTTATAAGCAAAGCCGATTGATATTCATAACTAAGTTGAACACATTCACATTTAAAATCTTGAAATATATAATTTGTAAGTATTGTTTTTTGTGCATTTTAATGCTAGCCAATTGCTAAATAACGGGAAGCCTTAATTCATTTCTCTATCATATGTTGCTTAAAAAGTATTTGAAATTCCACAAAATTATTAAAAAGGTCGCCATCGTGTATACTCTTCGATTGGGATACACTCGGATACATATTACCCGAAATGAATGTTGTTTCCCACTTGCATACAACAGATCATGACGATAAGCATTTTTATTTTTTAGTTTTTACCTCATCAGGTAGCATCAGTTTGGTAAACCATATACTTAAAAAACGGCCCCAGGCTCTGTGGTCACCGCCATTTCGCTACCATACTGTTTAAAAGGAATCTTGTAAAAAGGCGACCTCACACGCATCTGCATTTTTTTTCCGGCTCCCTAAGAGGCGATATTTCTGCTTTCTCTATTTACTTTGCAGGCAAATTTATTAGGATTAATATTACCTGTGGCTATGATATAAATCAGATCATCACATTTGGTTTGCGGTGATAAAACAAATGATCTGTATGTACAAAATATTAAAAAAAATTAAAATACTTAAAAAATAATTATACTATGATCTAATTTGAGAAGAGACAAATGTAACAAATAAAAATCACATTCATACTCATTAAAAATAATAAAAATATTTCCAACTAATATCATTTTTTTTCCATTTCTTTATAAAATAAGTATCATTATTTACTTTTTGTATGAATAATGATAAAGATTAAAAATAATAAAGATTTTAGAATACCACTACTTCCAACATATAACACATTCAATGAATGCTGAATTCTCCATTAATTACAGCTACGAAATCGCAATTAATAATAAGGATGACTTATAAGTATAATTCCAAAATCAGTCCAACAACTATATGTACGTTGCACCCCTTTTCCCTCTCGCCGTTTTCCACAAAAACGACAAAACCTGGGGATATTTTTCAAGATGTTGTACGGCTCTCCATCTGATCACAAAAAAAAAACGACAAAAAACTTGCACCAGATATGAGATATGGAAGCTGAACTGTAAGAAATTCAGCTACCAGACCAATCAAATTATAGGGAGGCCAACCACTCTGGCCACATCCATTTAATTTCGTACCAATCATCCAAAAATATTATCAATCATCTGTCCTTGATTCACTGTGTTAAAGAAAAATATCTCAATTAAAAACAGTGAATCTGTAATAAATTGTATTCACAAATTATTAATGTAGATTCCACGAAAATAAATGATGATTATTAGCTAATATTTCATTGTTAATGAATATGTTTTTTCAGGTCTTTCTACATCTTTTACTCGTGTTTGAGCAAACCATGCGTTAAACTATTTTTCATTTAATCAAAAGAAATATTTTTTAATTAGTTTTTATATTAATTGAGATTGATTTTTTTTTCCTGATAATCTTAAGTATGCATCCCTTATATCCATATAGTGATTTAAGACAAATTTAATAAATTCATTTAGTTACTGACTTCAAAATCCGAGCTCAAAAAATTAAAAAATAGAATAATTTTTCTTAACCATCGAGTCAATTCCTAAAATTATTAAGTTAGATTATTGCATAAGTAAAATCAATTACCTTATGTTATTAGAAACGTAAAAGTTGAATTAAGTGAAACTAAAAAAATCTATAATTAACGAAGACTAAAGATCTATATTCGTAAGGATCTGAATCAAATGTATTGACAGAAGGGAAAACAAAGGAAATGGGCAGGAGAAAGAAACAAAATTAGATGGGGGTTTGCGTTTTTTTAATAGTATAAGCCCATGGCATATACATTATTAGACACCAACTGCATGGGAAGACTAGAGACCTGGGAAAAAAAAAAACAGAGCTCAAGCAGAAGGAAACAGGAAGGAAGCAGCGAATACTTTCGCGGACGTAGCCACTCCCTGCCCCTACATATATTGTGTATATGTATTTAAGTACCTCCTCAACTGCCTTTTGTCTAGGTGTGCTCATTCCATTATTCCATTTGATTTCAAAATATTTTAAAATTTCGATTAATTGAATTATATATAAAAAAAAAACTAAAACTGAACGGAAATGTTATATTACTTCTATTCTTTTTCTTCTTTTTTTTCCCCCACTTGTCTCTCCTTCCTTTACTCCAATTCTTTTTTTATATTACTATTAGCATAGTATCTATGCATTGCCGCGAATAAATCTATATAATATATTTATTATTTTAAATAATTAAAAAATCTAGGTGTAAAATAAAACTTAATTAACACTAATTGTGATAATTTAATATGTATTATGCAGTTTTTAATAAAATATATATTTCATAATTGAGTTTAAATATTTTATATTTTGATCAATAAAAAAAGAAAAATTTTAGTCACTGGAGAAGGCATGCCTGGGTGCCTGGCTTATGCAGGCCCAATGTAGTGCATGAGTTAATAAATTAAATTTTTTATTTTAAAATTTTAGTAACCAAAATGAAACATGATGATGTAAACTAAAATATAAATGTTCAAAAACATTTTGAAAGTTTAAAAAAAGGAAAATATATATAAAAAAAAAATTCTAAGCTACAGTATGTGAATAGTAATCTGTGAGGGATCAACGGTGAAAATCGTTATTAAAAACACCCCACGTTTTTTCAGTTTATTTGAATAACTATTATCAATCGACTTTATAGTGTCTCGGGTGATGCCATGCATGGTATCCGTAAGGTGATGATCTCAGAGAACTGCATCACAAGGCCTGAAAATGCGTGCTTCGTCTTGAAGATATATGAAGACTTTTATAATGCTGTAATTGTTAGATTGTCTCTTCTGGGACGGGATGCATTGATCCAACATTTTATTCACATACCAATAAAATAAGTGATAGGTTATGAACACAGCCATAAGTGTTGGATTAGGAATATCTTACTGTCATTAATTATGCGATCCCTTTTGTGTTAGGTTAGAAAAACCTTCAAGTCAAGTTGGAAATAAACTCTTAAAATTATATATATAATTGTTTTAGTATAACTAACATAATTAATTATGTGGCCGTGAAGGATAAAACACAGGTCCACCAAGCAGAATTCCGGTTAGGTTATGGAGTGTTATTTTTTAATTATGCACCGCTAGAATTTTTTTTTTTTTTTTAATACAGATGGAGAGTTAAAGTCCTCAAGGAAAATATTAGCTGGAACAAAATTTAAGAGTGACAATTCTATAAATATCCTCAAACAAAAAGCCAATATATCAACGAAAGAGCTTGTATATTAATAATAATAGTTTCTTACAATAAGAATTTACGGATTCAAATCAAATCTTAAGTGTATGAGTTAAAAATAAAAAATCAATACATCTTTAAAAAAAACATCAACATGATAAGTGATATTTAATAATAAAAAAAATAGCCATAAAAAACAAATCAATCTATTGTGTGATTAGCTTTTTCAAAATTATGAGATATCTGAAGATGCAACAACCTCTAACGAAATTTTAACATATATAAAAGCAACCAATGCAAGGATTATGCGTTTAGGAATAATCAGTGAAGTTGCCATCACAGTCATTAATCAACTAGAGTACTAAGCCAATTATACATTCTAGAGTTGAACATATACCCTAAACATTCAAGTTCCAATAATTAATTTTGAAATAGAATTATGTTCATCAAAAGTATCTTTTCCTTCCTTTTCTCAAAATATATATATATCTTAGATTTTGTTTTGTAACAAGTAATGGGAATAAAAATTTTATTTTCATTGTGTAAATGTTTGGTTGGAAAAAATGAGGTGGGAATAAAAATTAAAATTAAACATAGTTTCATTTTTATTGAAAGAGTTGAGAATAAAAAAATGAGATCGAATTTTTTTCTTTAACATAATAAAACATTATATTTATTTATTATATATCAATTATTTTTACCATCACCACTCGGTTCTATCATTAGAGGTGGTTACAATTTTTTTTTGAAAAAAAATTATTATTATCATTTTGTTGTCAATCTTCCTCTACTCGTAATTATAATTTTTATTATATCACTATAATCATCACCATCATCACTATTGAAAAGAGTGATAAAGATTATTATTATTACTTTTTATTATCACCACTACTTCTATTTTTCTTCCATAACCACCTTCTATCGTGATAGTATTAATTTTGTTTTTAAAAACATATCATTGACGTTATTATACTTGCTATTACTATCACCCATTTTTCTTTACCACCATCAACATCGTAATTACCTTTATTATTTTTATTATTATTATAGTTGATAAAATAATTTTTTTATTTGTTTTATAAACAAAAAAATTATAACCTTTTTAAATTTCTATTATTATTTCAAATACGGTATAAGAATATATACAATCATCATTTTCGATTCTTTAATTTTTATTATGAATATTTCAGTCCTAACAGACAAATGATACCTAAAGTGTTTACCTTATTTTGTTCCATGGTCTTGTTCGTATAGCTTGGAATATCAGCTTTGTAAAATCTAGATAAATCCTCAAAATTTAGGTCAAATTTCCAAAAACGACAACGTCCCCTAGAAAAATATCCACACTCCAACTTTCATCAAATCTTTCAATTTGAACTGAATTGAAAGCTTTTTAAATTTCTCTCTTATTATTATTTTTTTTAATCTATCTTTCTTTATGAAATGAGAATAATTATTATAAATATACAATAATTATTTTTTAAATATTATAAAATTTCTTCCGTATAATATTCAAGAAGTTAATGTTGTCCCACCCTAACAGCACCACTGAAAAAGTCAGCGATTTTTGGTTCTAAATAAACATCTCCAGTGACTAAAAAAAGCCACCAATGGAAAAATAAAAAAATCGAGAATCCTTCTTCATTCGGAAGGATGTGAATCAATATCAATAAAACTACTAAAAAGTTTCGCCTTGCATTTAGATACAAACTGTGATAATTGAATAAAAAAATTCATTTTTTTATTAAAAAAAAAATCAATGAGTTGTCGTTTGGTCTTCACTAGGATTTTGAGTAATTTTAGAGGCTCCTTTGGAGACTTTATCCATTTTGAAAGAAAAGAAATCTATAAAGTAGCGAACACAATTCTTGTTACAGAGTAATTTGATACGGCGACAAATAAACAAAAAAGTTATTTGACTTAGAGGCATTTTAGTTGTTTCATATAAAAACAACATGCTTAATATACAACTAAGCTCTTAAACTCTTAAAAAAAAAAATTTAAAAAAAATACATAAGAAAAAATATATGGGTTCGATGTGTGTATTTTTTGTGTCATAAAATGTTTTTATTTATAGACTTAAAACAATATAATGAAACTATACTATTGTTAATAAAACATTTAAATTCATAAATTAAGCTGAATAATTGTTATTCAGTTTAATTCAAACAATAAAAATTTAAAAATAATTAATCTCATTGCCAATTTTAGTTTTCAAGTATCAAAATGCCAATCTTTTGATATAATTTATACACGATCTATCAAAAAGCCTATCAAGTAGTCCACAGGAGGATTAATTCAGCATAGCATTTATTTATTTATTTCACCACTAAAAACTCATCGTTATAAACAGTTTGGAAAAGAGTATTTCTTTCCAATATTTCTTTTTCTTTCTTTCAATTCCATAGGTGGCGTTAGATTAATTTGTTGTTTACTATATACTTTTGGAATCCAATCTAAAGAAAAATTGTGAGGAATTTCGCTTAAATACACCAATTTGGATATAAATATCCATTTAATATCCAACAGATAAAACTGCCTGTAGAGATGATTTTGGATGGTTCAGTCTTCTTGCGGCTCTCCCCAGCAACTGGTCCTATCCATTTTGCTTCTCTTGGGTCGTCCTTGGCAAGTCCTCCCTTTGATCCAAAAGGAAAAAAACTGGGTCAACCCTTGAGCATAAACGAGAGGCAAAACTCATATCTATCATTTGGGCCTCGCATCAACAGTGGCCCATTATCGAAGAAATACAACCAGATGCCACTCGTAACTCAGGGCCGCCTCCCTACTTGCAAGATTGCAAGCCTCTTTCCCGCCATGCTGTGTATGAACCTTGTCAATTCACATTTCACTATTCTCTCTATTCATAACCGATCTCTTCCTCTCTCTCTCTCTCTCCATATATCCTTCATTTGAATTCAAAAACCAATTTATGGCTTAACAGCCTAATGCAGGGTTTCAATAAGTTAAATAAGTGTTTCATTTCTCCTCTTTCAGACCTCAAAATCACTGACACGATCAAATGAAGTTGAAGATCAACAAAGCTTGCGATCTCAGCTCCATTTCGGTACTTCCTCCTCAATCAAGGTTCGATATTATCATCGCGACTCGCTTCTGTTTGGATTCTGAGAAAATTCACTAAAACTAAAGAAATTGAGTTTCTGTTTTGGTTTAGTTTAGCTTAGCTTTTGAGATTTCAAAATTTGAGCAACAGAAACACCGATGTGACTTTGTTTTATTTTCTTAGATTTTCCTCTGTTTGGCTCCTGAGAAAACAGAAGGAATCGAGCGTTTAATTTCTTTTTCCAGTTCATTTTTCTGCTCGTATTTAAAATGATCTGATAGCTGATTTTGATTTCTCTGTGAGATCTGTTTGGATGCCGAGAAAATGTAAAAAACAGAAAGAAATAAAACACAGCTGCTTAATTCAGCTTAGTTCGTTCTTTTCTAAAATTTTCACTATTTTGCTTCTTCGCTTGTGTGTTTAGCCTTTTATGCTGATATCAAAGACTTACGTGATCTGTTTCTAAGAAAAACTGTAGAAGATGAGAATTTATGCTTATGTAATTTGAAGATTTTCCATTATGTCAGTTGATTAGGTTGTTTTTGAATAAGATATGAGATAAGTTATTTAAAGATGTTTTCACTGTTTTGATAATTTTTGTCCTAATTAATTGTACTGTTTGTTCTTTTTATGATATGAAGGAGATCAAGTTCTATACCAGTTGGACCACAACAAGCATCACAGCGTCGATCACAACAATCACAGCAGTCATTTTCACAGGGGTTTTCATCTCAGCATGGCATGTTTTCTCAGATCTCTCAGACTTCTCTTGATGAAGCTCTGATCAATGATCAGGTTGATTCTCATTTCAATTCTATTTTATTTGCGTTTATGATAAAATGGAGCATCAGAAGAGATTACTGATTGGAATTCTGCGAATTTTGTTAAATTTTTCTCTAGAAATTCAAATATTTGTCTCACTACATTTAAAGTTTTTTCAAGTGTTAAGCTCAATTGAGTTGAGGTTCTTGGTTATGGAAATGGATAAGGTGTGATTTCATATCATTTTATTTTCTTATCAGCTTTGAGAGGAGGTCAACCTGAATTATGGAAGCTTTTGGAGTTCTAAATTGTGAATCTTAAGTGAAAGTGATTGGGTCAATCAAGCAGATTTCCTCCTGTTTGTCTGTGATAGCATGTAAACAATCATATATTTACCATTGTACAGTAAAAGCTTATTATCATAGGAAGGGATTAGCTGTCAAACTGCCCTTCATTTTATCTCTGATTGATAAGGCAATTATAAGCTCTGAAGAACTAGTTCCTTAGCCGTTTTGTTGTTCCATGCTCAATGACTATTCTTACACCTAGACTCGGTCTTGTCCTAAGGGTTCTTCCTTCTGTTATCCACCTTTTTGGCAACATATCTGAGCACGTGTTATGTTTACATTTGAGGGGCGAGAACCTCCTTCAAAGTGTGTGTTTCTCCTCTTTCAAAACTTTTTTTTTATTCCCTTTCTGGGAATAGTTGCCTTGTCCAAACCCCTCTGTAGCCTTTCTTTTCCAAACCTTCAATAGAATGGTGTCTCATGTAATGGGTTTGGACTGTGATGGCATTAATTGAGTAAAACTATAAGAAACAATTTTCTATGAGCTTTTTGTTTACTGTAAAACACAATTGAATATGCAGTCATCGTTCCACTTTTTTCCTTTGCTTTTTGTTCATTTGCTATACAGAGATTCAGTTCTCAGGAGCGAGAGAACTCTGTGAAGAAGCCGTCTTGCTTACCAGTAATTAGCTATAAACGCGAAGAGAGTCAATTGCCAGTCTCTAGATCTTCTTCCAATCTAGTGCGCAAATGGAGTGCTGCTCCTGTTCCAGATCATAAATGTAAGATTCGTATGGAGTGAAATAAAATATCTGAAAAGTCTATCAGTTTAGCTCTCCTATTCAAGATGTATATTCGGATCAATTAAGTTTATATCCTTGTATGCGTGAATTCTTCTTTCTGCGGAGTACTGAATTGTTTGTTTAACTAAGCAGGTCAAATAAACGAAGAACTTCAGCACCAGATCGGAATGATGGAAACTTCTTTAAACAAGTTTGGAATGATCTTGGATTCTGTTCAGAGCGATATCATGCAAGTAAAGAAAGGGATAAAAGAAGTATCACTGGAGAGTGAGTGATATAAACTTTTAACACATTGAAAATTAGGAGCCTGTGAGAAAAAATGTTAGTGAAATCATGATTTAGAATTGCGGCAAAAACTAACCATGATACCTAAATCGTTATGTGTCCTTCCCTTTAAGTTGAATGGAGCTTGGTCATTTATTGACTAGTTAATTAAATTACTGATACTGATAAATGTCCCGTAGGCTATGTACTTGAATTTCAACTGATTTAATCATCCTCATTTTGTTCTGTATGCTCCCGGCCTTGTCTTGTCAGGAAGGATTTGGATTAGAACTAAGATATTTAGTGACTGTTTAAGGGAAAAATTAACTGCAAATTTAATCTCATTGCTAGCAATGTCAAAGTTTTTTAACAAAATTTGTTAAAGTTGTTTTGTCTTCTCAATTTCATTCAGTGGAAGGCATGCATCAGAAGTTGATTGTCCTCGACACCTCGCTGCAGCTAATGGTAACACTGTAACAGTACACTTATTGATGACTCTTTTTGACTTCGAGCATTAACAGCCTAGTTTTTTGAGTGTCAATGACTCAGCACTTTTAAACATTACTGAGATATTTTAAACTAGAATAAAGGACATGAAGATGTCAAATTCAGCGTTGAGGGGAGCCTGAAATCTGTATCGGAACAACTTAGCAAGGATAGATATCAAGACAAGTTGCAGCAGATTTTCTTGGGGCTTTCTACCGTACCAAAGCAGATGGAAACATTTCTGTACAAACTACAAAACGAGCTATGCACAACCTTCACCAAAGAAATCCAGGCATGTATAATGATGCAGCGGCAAAGATATATAGAACACCTGAGATTTGGAGTGTAACATTAAGTTGTATTCTATTTCCTTGCTTAATATTGAAGTGTCCAGTCTTCTTATAAGTTTTTGATTAATTAATTAATTCCTGTTTTAAGTGCTCAATTATGCCCCTAAGTCTTTGCTTGTTAATTCCTTTTCGCTCCGTCATTTATATACTTGTAGGCAATGGCTTGGAGCCTGAAGACCCCCTCAACCAAAAAAGTCCATCAATCACTGTACTTCCACCAAAGGTGCTTTACTCTTCTAAGAAAATTCAGGGTATCTTCTCTGATAAATTACCTTTGTGAGCATAATTTATCATAAAACCTTGCATCTATTCAAATTTGCAGGTTACTAGCCATCATGTTACTCCACAGAGAAAGCCAGAGCCAGAAAAGAAGTATGCAAATCTAGTTTTCATTTATCCAACTTGTTTTCGTGCTCGCACTGATTGTGTATTGTTCTATGCTTGTTAATTCTAATTACCGCCTATAAACAATTTAAATCCATGAGTGCATCCATGTGTGCGAAAGAGTGAGAGAAAAGAAAAGTGCATCTGCGCATGGCAGTTACATACTATGTTATTGGCAGCCTTTGCTTGGATTGATCAACTAGTTGTTCTTTTGTTTTCTTGTATCTTCTAGTTGATATATATTGGTCGTTTAGTTCTTAAACTTAATTGTAATAATCATCATATCAAACAAAGAACACTGAATGCTTTCTCTTGATTCCAGTCCAGCTTTGCCTCCAAAGGTTTCTGGGCAAGCAAAAATAGTTCCGAAGGTAGAAGTGGGAGGTTGGAAGTCTGTAAAGATGGAACAACGAACATTTACGCAAGCGGCATCCCTCAGGGAGCAGAAACGCACCAGAGTTTCTTCAGAACAACAGGTGGTTCTTAATGTGCACATGTTTTTGGTCTTCCCAGTGTTGCTAAGTCAAACAAGGGTTTTTAGTTGGGATTTTGTGTATGGTGCTCGTCCTGGTTGATTGGCATGATAAAAGTAGTTGCAGAAATTTAAATTCCTTAAAAAATGAACCAACACACGATTGATGACCTCTGCTGTAAGGGTTTCATGGAAAATTTCTTCTTACTGATCAAAGAATAGTTGTCATCTAATATTCATGGTCAAAAAAACATGTTGTTCCGTATTGCAGGAAAAACAAAGTAGAGTTATTATCGATTCAGATGAGGATATTGATGGAGGTTTTTGTTGCTTGATTGATGTGAAGGAAACAGGTACGTCATAAAAGAAAATTATGAGGATTTATTATTACTGTTGATTACTGTTAGTGTCCCATCCTTCAAAAAAATCGCATGATAGGTTCTCACCATAGCTGCATATGATATATTTAAAACATACCTATATAAGAAGTCTTGAAATTAGATGGTACTACCCACAAGTAGAGAGAAATATAAAGGGTGAGAGTTTTGAATTGTGGATTTCTTGGCGACCAGAGTACATGGTTATAACTATCCTTGAAGGGCTATTTTAAGAGAGCTTTTGGCTGAACTGTGGAGAATGTAGCATCTAAAAAATGCAAATATTATTGTTCTTACCTGGGCCCCTTGTAGGCTTGCACTACTCAATTTAGAGCCGTTATTCGATCTGCTAACATTGCTCTAACCCGTTTCCCTGTTTTTTTAGGCATCAGAAACCCCATAATTGATGAATCAAAGGAAGAGACTGCAAGAATTTTGAGAAAAGCTAGGAGGCAAAAGAGAAAATACTGTAATCCTATTATTATTAATTAAAGGTATACTTGCGCATTTGTATTTGCTTTATTCTATGTACACTCTTCCATTTGTTGCTCATCTTAAATTCATTGTTAATTAAAACCCTTACTGTTCTTTAAGATCTCTGCAAAATTGAAGTATTGAAACAAGAATACAAAATGCCCTAGCATAATACGAATTGATGTTCGTAGATTTCTTAGATGAATGCTACATTTATGTGGTTTTTATATCGGGAATGCATCAGAAATTTTAGCAACAAGTCCTTTCCATGAAGTAAGCAATACACACAAGTCTCCAGTGTTGACAGTGTCAGATAAATATTTTTGGTTATCGAGTCCTATAGTTTTGATTCTATGATTTCTCACGTCCCGAAGCGTCAGAAGGTTCCAAGGAATTCTTGCCGAAGACCCACCACCGTACAGCTGTTCCCGATTAGTCGTATTTATGATCTTCTTTTTGGTTCGGTACATACTTTTGTAATGTCTCATTTGCTTCTGTCTGCCGTCTCCCAACAACTTTATTGCATGTGCAGCATTAATCAGGAAAGAGAAAAAATTCAACTTCTTGACTTTTCAGGAGGACCAACCCATATGATTCCAATACCTTGGCCGAGAAGGAAAGGAAAATGATGCACTGTTGTGTTATGGATCAAATATGTTGGGTTATTCCAAGTTAGTTGTGAAAAAAACTGTTTATTTAGTTATAAGTAGGGGAGAAAATTTCACTTTTTGAATTAGTTTTCGCATAAAATGATGAAAAATTATCAATTTATAATTCGACGTACAAAAAGAGAGATTATTGTGTTATCTCACTTGGATTGTGCAAGAGATATCTTCGCTTCTTGAGTTAAATTTTGAAGTTGAGAAAGTTCAACGGCATTTAGCAAAAATTTGTGAGCAAAGACTAAAATCTGAGTTAATCAAACTTGAAATTGAATCAATAACCAAATTGGAAGCGGAAGAAAACGAACAGATAAAGAAAAGTAGAGGTTAAGATGCCTTATTGACCTTGGGTCTGTAGAGAATGGGCTTGTATGTTGTTTCGTGGATTGGCAATGGAATATTCACGGACTACAGCACACGCGCCTCTGCAAGGCCTATGACATTTAAGCCTATGTTTATCAATTGCCAAAGATTTTTCTGTCTAAATATCTTGTATATAATACGAATTCCTAAAGAAAAATAGATGTGAAAAGGTGATTGCCTAAATGGGTTTATTATGTTGCTTGGATTTTTCTCTCCTTTTTTATGCGAACAAGTATTTCCACTTGCCATAGAACCACCGTTTTCGTGACTGGTTCTGAGGTTCATTTACTTGGAAGTTTTATATATTTATTTATTTATTTTTACTAGTAAGGAATCGGATGGGGTGGTCAACAATGTGAGCAAATGGAGATTATCAAACCATAAGCATAATATACCATGGAAACATACATACACGCATGTCTAATTTTCTGTCATCAGTCTCTTTTTTGACTCGAAAACTTTTTTTTTTTTTTTTTAATTTTCTCTTCGTAAGGACTTGAAGACACAGATTGAAAGAAGAGAATGAGCTGAAAGATATCATTCTATTTTAATTGCTTCTATTTTGCTTATTCAGCTCTTCTATAACCTTAGAAGGGAGGATTGATGTATGAATTGTTGAATTGCTAGGGGATTTTGACAATTCTTGACCACTTCAAAACTAGCACGTGGCCAGACCACAATTTTCGGTCTCCTTTTTTTGGTTTTTCAAATCATTATTGTTATCGAAGAAATAAAGAGGACAAATAATAAAAAGACTTGGCCCCCCTACGCACTAAGCTGCTAAAACAGCAATTCCATTAACGGTCCTTTTTTCGCAGCAAAGGCAGCATCACTGAAAGGTCATCAGATATGACTCTTCAATGGGCCGCTTACAAGGGCGGCTTCTGTGGAATAAAATAACAGACGATGATGCTTTATACATTTCTAATCTCTCAAGGAATGATTAGATTTGCAAAATGTTGCTTATTGAGCAATTCCTTGTCTTCTCTCAAAGACTGTAGCTAGCTTGTCTTATTAGAGAATCAAGACATTAGATAAGCCTATAGTTTAGCAAGCCTCATTTTTCAACGATATCGATGTACTCGTCGTGGGTAAGCATCTAGTAAAGCACCAAACTGGTGATTAATATTGCAACAATGCATATGATAAGGCAAGAAAGTTGTCTTGAATTTGTAAATTCATTTGATATTAGGCTCCGTTTGTTTGAGAGAAAACAAGTTTCATAGGAAAACCAATTCTTAAGGAAGTTATTTTCTTGAAAAACAAACTTCCTTGAAAATATTTTCTGTTGTTTGGTAATTATATGAAAAAGCTACCGAAAATATATTTCAACGTTTGTTTGATATAGAAAATTAAAATACAAAAACTTATGTGATTGTTATATCAACAAGTTTTGAAAAAATTTTAAAAAGACATTCATAATTTTATAATATAAGATACATTTAAAAAAATTTAATAAATTTTCATCAATACTAACTCTAAAATTTTAATTCAAAAAATAAAATGTACTTTTTTAACAATCAAATCAAATTATCAAAATTACTTGGGACAAAATTAAGTCAATATTCATATTTGGTAAAAAAGATTCTAAGTAATCTTAGCATTATTATTTTAGTAACTCAATTAAGAATTTTTTTTTTAAGAAATTAAACTGATAATTTAGTCTAAAAAATAATTTTATAAATTATTTGTTATCATCTATAGATAATTATTTATTTGATATCAAAAGATTAATGTTGGAATAATTTGTAACTAATTATTCATTACAATTACCAATAAAATTTTACAATTGATTAAAATTATAAATTATTGATTTAATTGCAAATGAATAGTGTTAAAAAAATAATGTATTTATTGATGAATTAATTAATTTTAATTTCTTTTTACAAAAAATTATAGTCTTGTAATAATCATTTTCAATCATTTAACTATAGCTTAGGTAGTGATTGAGACAATAGTAAAAAAAAGGGATAAGTTATTAAAATATTTATTATAAAAATAATTTTAAGGTGTAAAAATGGTTTTTAAGAATATTTAATGTATCTATAAATAAAAAAATCAAATATTAGTAAAGATAGAGAAAAAATAATTAAATAATTGATAATAATTGATAAGAAATAATTAAAAATTAATATGATATATTTTAAATAAAAAGAAGATAGAGAAAAAATTGTTAAAATATATCAAGAGAGAGTTATGTAACGAGAGAGCGAGACAGCTCGTGAGAAGGAAAATGTTTTCCTCTTTTGAAACTCGGTAAAACATTTTTCCAAAATTACTCTATCATTTTTCGTTGACTAGAAATCATTTTCTATTGACTTTTTTCCCGAATGTGAAACAAACACTGAAAAATGAAAAAAACAAGTTCCAAGAACTTGTTTTACTCCAAACAAACGCAGCCTTAATGCAAAAGGGGTCTGATCTATATTGTATTTTTTCTTACTTCTCCTTTTCTTTTTCTCAATAAAACACGTACGAGATAGTTTTCGTTGTAGTGGGACAAATAAATTGTGATTTTCATATATATATATGAACACATGTGTTTCATCAATTAGATCATTATTTAAAAATTAGGATAATGTACATGAATACTGAAGAAAAAAAAAAAGAATTTTCAACTCAATCATCAATTGAAACATAGAAATATATAGGATAAATTACAAGAAACGCCATGTAGTTAGGTAGATGTTTTTTTTTTTACGATAAATTTTCATTCCGGTAAATCATAAAATGACAACAATACTCTCATATATAATTAGACCTCGGGCCATCTAAAATAAAATACATCTCATTTTAAATTGTTTGCTCTCTTTTCTATTCTTTTCTCTATTTGAAGAGAGAGAAACATAATCAAATATTAAAATTTACAATTAAATCTGTCGAAATCAAACACTTTTTTTGAGTGTTCTTGTTGATTAAACGTTTCTTTCATTGATTGTGGTCGAAATGAAGATGAATTGAGGACGATTTGAAGTTGAAACGAGATATATGAAACGTAACCTATTTTTAAAATTTTTTAAAACATAAATGTATTTAATCCATAAAATTTTAGGACTAACATTACATTCATCTAATCTCAAGCGAAACCTATAAAATTTTGGATGCTTTGAAGATTTTTTTTATTTGTGATAGAAAATCCCATAAGAACCCTAATTTTGTAAATGTTTAATTTTTCCTTTGGAACATCTTATTTATCCTTTAATTGGTCGTTTTGAGCAAAACATATTAAAAATTGAGGGTTTTAAGGTTTTTAAAATGGTTAATTGGAACTATGAGAAATAGTCAAATTTTTAAGATTGATTTTTTTTTTAGGAGAATTTGATTACATGCTATAATTAATTTTGATTAATTTGTGAGTACAACTTAAAATATGATTTTTAGTGTTGATTTTTTCAGGGGAATTTGATTTTTTTTTCTAATACCAAAATTTTGGTCACAGTTCCTGCTTGCATTATTGAGATTATTTGTTGTCAAGAATGGCAATATAGATTTGTTTGTGTCATGGAGTACAACTCATAAGTGATATCCAAAAATGGTTATCAACCTCTCTAGTCACCATGTTGATATGTAATCTAAGGATTTCCTGGTTTTGATTAGTCTTATTTATTAAAGAATTCAATTTCATAAAAAAATTATTCTCATTCAGAGTCCATATGTTTTGTTGGAGATTCACGATGGTTGGACTTTTCTTCAGATGATGATGGGCGAGAAATTGTTGCTGGAAGTAGTGATGACTCTATATATGTATATGACCTTGAACAAAATAAGCTCTGCCCAGAATTTTGGCACACACGGTAGGTAAAATATTGTGATAACTTCAGTTGAACCACAATTGGACAATGGCTACATTTTTCTTTTCTTGGGTCTTTAGGGTTTTTACGTTGAGCTTACATTAATGCTTGCAAATTGTTTGGATGTCCAACCTATCCTATCTATAAGCTGAACAGAGTATTAATGTATAATCTCTGCCCAATAAAATCAGCCTTAGTTTCTACCCCAAATGATAAATGGGTTGGTGTATTACCACACAAATTATTCATACATGGCCTCGGCCAACCAATTATCAATCCTTGGTCTCTATCCTATCCCAATGCATGGTAAATGGGTAGGGCATTAAGGTAGACAACAAAGTCTTTTATTATAGAAATAGCCTGTAACAACTACATGGTTGTCAAAGTCGGGTTTATGTACTCACAAGTTGAAGATGTTGATGAATACAGTGATGACAAAGACATGATCACTGCAATTAATTTAAGTTGAAACTCTGCTTTCTCTTTCTCTCTGTTTTCCCAGAGAGTGCCGTAATAAAAAGCGGCCAGTGAAAAAAATAATAAAGGCAAACTTATAAAAATTTAAATGTTTTTTTAAATTCAAAATTTTGACATCGTAAATGAAATTATAATATATGGAGTTTTTTATATAAATATTAAAACGCGACGTGTAATCAAGATTTAGAGGAGGAGATTTTTTATTTAATTTTTTTTTCAATCGTTTCCATTTTAAGTATCCATGCAAATTAATTCAAATTAATTATTTTAAATAGCAACAAATAACTTTTTTAAATTGAGTAACATCATCATTTTTCCTCAAGACGAGCACACAACTCTCTGTTCCCTCATTCTCACTCTATATGTATAGATATGTATGTATGTTTTTATGTATAATAAGGAGCTCAATTGTTTTGTTCTTTTCTTATATAACATAAAGGAATTCAATTATTGAATCATTCAAACTGTCATGATTCCACTAATCCTAACTTGGCCAAGGAATAATCATATCACGTATACCTGCATAGTAAAGCAGGTTCCACCCCATAAATTTGATTACTTTCTCGAGTGTAATACAACTCAGTAGGCTTTTTTACTTTCTTTTTCCAATATTGAGGCATTGGTTGGGATTCCTTTTGAGACTTTGGGTGTTCAAAAGAGAGAGGAGCATCCAATGCTTAAAGAGCGTGGTTGGAGTGGGAAAAGCCAAAATTCCAGTGTGGGACAAAATCAACCCACCACTTTGATTAGTTAAAGTCCTAAAGAAGTTAACTTGCCATAGTCTGATAAGTGGCACTAGTGAGGTTTAATCTCTGAGTTAGCTGAATGATTATTGCAGTTGGCCTAATAAAGAAACAAACGAAACAACTAACTTCAAGTGGGAAAGACAATGCAATAGCTACCAATCATCTCCTAGATGAACATCACTTACCCAACCTTAAAATAAACTCCAAATCATTAGTGTATCTGTCTCTTCGTTTAATTTTATAGTATAATTAGCATCAGCCTTGGCCGTCCTGACAAAATGAGTTAGATAGATAAGATCATTTGTTGAGACCTTACATGGCAACCACCGATCCATCGACTATGTCTACATAAAGCCTAGCTTAATGTTTATTGTTTAAAATAGTGTATTTAATAACCTAAAACATCCTAATCTGACACTTAGGTCTCAACTAACCAGTGCCAAAAATTGGGCTTGGTTTGTCTGATAGATAAAGTTAGCTTAATTAACATATCTTATTATATATGAAGTTTGGTCTCCACAAAAAACCATGGTCATTTTCCATGGTAGTTAAAATATTTGCCACTAGTGCTTTTCATCTTGATCTAAAGGTATGGTAATAGTTATTGGCACCCATTCTCTTCATTTTCACGAAAATGATTGAATTTAGAATTGTGCTGTGGGATTCTTCAGTGCCTGTGTACATGCATCCCATCCCATGACCCTTCTCCCTTGAATAAATATATCTTTAAGGACAAGCAAGAAAAAAGCTGCCTTAGTACCAGCATGCAAAAACTAGCAACTCTCACCCTCTCAATTGGCACACTCTATCAAATTAGTTAAAATGGAACGACACAGGTGAGATCGCGAGGACAAAAACAACAACAAAAAACAGGCTCTCCTTCCCTCTTTCTACGTTAGTTAAATGGTAACATAAGGTTACATTAGCCAATAGCAAATGTCTACATGACACCATCCTAACAAAGTACCAATTAATTGCCCATATAATTAATAACCACAAATAGTAGTTTTATGATAAGCAAATATCGACTTGTTAGTTAAGTTTAGATTTCATTTTTGTGACCTGTACTTCTAACTATTTATTCTTAAAATATCTAAAATTGTGTGTTGAGTAGTACCGCTTAATAATGTTCATGAAGAAATTAATTTTAAAGCGTACAAAACTAGTGCAAAAACATCATTATTATTCCATGTAAAAAAAAAAAAAAGGGTTATACTGAATTATTTTTGTATGCCTGTGGTCCACCCATTTGGTGCCACGACAACTTTAATTTTGTTCCCTTCTAAACGAAAAACATTATCAATCACTCCACTGGATTCCATATCTCGTTTCGAACACAATTGGCAACTTATTAGCAAATGCAATAGTTATAGATTCCCTCTCGATTGTCCTATTATTATTCCCTAATTACAGTACTTATCTATGGATGAGGGAGTTGGGCTCAATCATAAAGCGCATTTTTGGAATCGAATTATCTCCTTCTTTGCTATTGTCAATCCCCACCATTAAAGTATAATCGAAGCATCAATGCAGAAGTGCATGTAGCGTCTAAATATCAATGGACCTAGTGCAGCGGCGAGGGTGGCCGTTGTCTCTTATGGGCCTTCAATGTGTCACTATTAGAGTTGGTAAATTGTGGACCCAACTGATTTAATTAGTAGGACCCAAACTGAGCTGTATTTTTAGGCCCAACTGCTCCCTTCACATTTACCGTGGACAAAAACATCGGTATCCTCCGTGTCACTCTGGCATTCTTCCTCCTTGCATGTTTTCTTTTCCGTTTGTTTTTTTTTCTTTTTCTTTTTTTCCCCTAACGATCCGGTTATTTAATTCTCGGGTCAGCAATTCTGCATCGAAATCAATTTTTTGCCTTAAACGAGTTTTAGACACACCTTTATATTTCAAACTAAAATATTAAGAAAATTTTCTTTATTTCACAATCTTTCTTTAGAGTTAGACTTAAAATAATAGTATAGAAAATGAACTTATTCACCATCACCGTCGACAACTCAAAAATAGATGATAAAATGTATAAAGGATGGTTTGAGGTAGGGTTTTACAAATATATATATATATATATATATATATATATATATATTTGACAACGGCAGGGATAGAGCAGGTCTGCTGTGCCAAACTACCAAATCACAGGACTTATATAGGACGGCGGAAAAGAGTAGAATCGTTTTGGATTTGTGCAGGTCTACTGTTTTTTTTTCTTTCTAACCAGCATTTTCATTGGAGCACGGCAAATACATGACTTTGTTCGAAAGTTTATGTTGTGTATCATTTTTAATTAATTAAATAAATCCATTCATAAATAGTTGACAAAAAGTTATTTGAGTAAAAAACAAGCATCAAATTTAATCCTAACCTTGTTACTTTTACCGCACTATATTACTGCCACTGTACAAATCACATAATTCCTGCTTCATAAAGCAGTGAAATAATGTAACAAATACGACCCTACCAATGGCTCCTTCTCGCAAAAGAAAAGGAAGGGAACTTTTTTATATAAAGTCATTTCCAAAATCAGCCCTGAAGATAAAAAGGAGGAATGCGGCAGTAAAATTTGACATTGTTGGTTTCATCAACGATTTTACCAAAAACCAATATTGAGTTCTATTTGTACACAAATGAAGACCGACCATGTTCTGAATTTTACTATTAATTTTAAATTTAACAATTTAAAATAAATAAATAAATAAATAAAATTATAAATAGTTAAATTATTTATGTTTTTATCATTCATTAAACAATGATTATTTAGTTTGAATTTAATAATTTAGATAAGGTAAAAAATAAAATTATAAATAGTTAAATTATTTCTGTTTTTATCATAAACGATTGTTTAGTTTGAATTCAATAATTTAGATAAGATAAACGAAGTAAAATTATGAACATTTAAATTATTTTTATTTTTATCATAAACGACTATTTATTTTGAATTCAATAATTTAGATAAGATAAACGAACTAAAATTATGAATATTTAAATTATTTTCATTTTTATCATAAATGACTATTTAGTTTGATTTCAATAATTTAGATTCAATTAATATTTATATTTAACGAATATGATGGTTATTTCCTTATAAAAATAAGAGATCCAATTTTATTTATTTATTTATCGGCAAGAATAGGTGAAAAAAAGCTATTTCAATGTAATGGATTGTTCTAGAAAGTGAAAATGCCAAGTATGAAGAAAACAATTATTGTTAGTTATTCTGTTTTCAATACTAAATTTTTGGAAATTAACGAATACATAATGGGTTAATTGGCAAAGAGATTTCTTAAATTTTATTACTATGTAATTGCAATTTTTTTATTTTTATTTTTTTGAGATTGGCTAATATACCTCACCGTTTGCACAGCGCTTAATATATATATATATCCTTCCTTTAGATTTAATTTTCCCTTTACTTTTATGATAAAACAATTTCCTTATAAAGATTTAATTTCTTATGTCCTTTTATTTAAAAAACCATTAAAAAAATCCATTCCGTCGAAAGTTACAAACCTCTCCCTTCATTTATCACATATTTACAACTTTACTCCCTCCTTTTTTTTTTTTAATTCACTGTATATGCCCCCCTCCACGCTCTTTCGCCCAACACCCATACAATACCATACTGTCCCTCTCTCTCTTCTCTCTCTCTCTAGAACGGAAAAGTAAAGACAAGACAACCTCTTTCTCTCTCTCTCCAACATTTTCTCTGCTACCTTTGAAAGTGCCAAGAGAGAGAAGGACACAAAAAGTGTATTCCAGAGAGAGATAGAAAGGGGAAGATTGTGACTTTGATGATTGTTGAGCGTGGAGGAAGTAGCAGTGCAGAAGAGAAAAATGGGGAGGGAGACAATAGCAAAAGCATTTCTTGAATACAAAGCTCTATCCTTCTCTCTGGGCCCATCAATATCAATCCCAAAACAAACTGTCACGTATTCTCCTTCTTCTACCAAAACCATTGTAAAGCTTTCAACTTTCTCTTTCACACCTCCGCATCCACTTTTTCTCAGTCTTTATTGCCTGCCCATATGACACAAAAATTTTGTTTCCCACTCAAATTATAATCGGTCGATGGGTGCTTGATAAGAATTTTATACTCCTTTCTTTTTAGTTGTCAAAAGATAGATACCCACTTGGGAGAGAAAAAAAAAGTCCTTTTTTGTTTCACCGTTGCATGTATTAGAAATTTAGAAGAATACATTTTTCTGGGGTTCTTTTTGTTTTTCTTGATCTGGGTTTTCTTTCTTTGTTGCTGAATTGGACAGAATTGACTGGCTGCTTTGAGGTTTGAGTAGAATCTGAGGAATTTTTAATTGGGTGTTGATGAAAAGATTGGCTTTGTGGTTTGGACTTTGGATTTGAGAGAGTCAAGGTTCTAATTTGGTGTTTCAAGGATTGGAGATATGACATTGAAAGAGATAAATCATGGAGCTTTTTGAATAGTTAATGCATAATTGGCTGTTGTGGAGCTGAGTCTTTTTATTTACTTCAAGGCAAGCTTGCTTGGATGTTGATCAATTTTGTTGAGTGAAATTTTGAAGCTGTGATTCACTTTGTGAGCTTTTTATGTAATTGCTCGTTTCATTTAAGGAAAAATCAAAGTTTGAGACTTCAGGCGCTGGGTTAGGAATTAAGGCTTGCGAAGCAAAAAAAGAAGGCTTTGATACCTTGCCATGCAAAGAAAGTTTTTGGCAAGCTTAAACTTGACTCTTCTAGGAAGCTCTTTTGAGATGCTGAAATTGGAAGTTTTGTTTATTCTCCTTTGACTGCTTGGACGGTACCTGGCTGCATTGTTGCTCTTCTTGGCGTCATCGAATCTGAGGTGATTGCTCTATGTATTCCATTTCTTTATTTTGTCAAAATTTACCGACACTTCATACCAGATATGTAATTTGCTATATGTTTTTATATAATTTTTTATGGTCATAAAGACTAAGATAAAGAAAGAAATGTAATACTCTGGACTAAAGTCTTACTTCTCCATTAGTGACAATCATGCTTTTTAAGATTACTGCTGGGATCCTATGGCCAATGATATCTGATGATCTTGTTTTGAGAGGTAGCTGAATTCTGTTTCAGAATGCTTGTGAGGATGTATAGTCTTATGTTTGCTGGTAAAATGTGTCTTCAACTCTAGCTCATTTTATTTGTTCCCTAGTTAATTGTTTATTTTTTAGCCATGTATTTGTTTGAAAATGAGAGTGTAGTTTAATGTTGAAGAGGCTAGAATGAGAAGCTATTTCATAGTCTCCTCGATATTTTATCGAAACTTTTGTTACTAGGTGTTTCAGGCTTGTTGAAAACTCTTCTTTCCGGGCATGGTTTCTTGCTTTCACAAGGTTCAAGGAATAGTGTTTCAAAACTTGCCACCTGCTTGTCTACTGGTTCACCTGTCAAATTTGGTTTTTGCCTTCTTCTATTTTCTGATGATGCCATCCTAAAAATCAGCATTGCTGCTTTCTACAACTAAGCGGTAGTTTTAGAGAGCATTCATCATTATCATATGTGCAGTATTATAAATGCATAATTTCATACCATATTAACCGGCACGTCAATCTCTTATGCTGCTTTGCATTCTTTTTTCTGCTTCTCATTGTCATGTGACTTGCATCCCCGTTCAATTTTTTTCCTGCAATATATTTGGTAATTAGAATATCTCTTTGTATCTTTTAGCTTATTTATGAGTTTTCGAATTGAAAACAATTTTGGTTAATACTCTTCAGCTGATGTCTTTTTTACTCATCCCCTTCCTCAAATATATCAGATATCAAGTAGCAGTACCTTTGAGAAAATTTGGATCAACAGAGCATAATACAGTCAAAGAACTAGCCACTCACTATGGCAAAAAAATCACTGAGACGCCCTGTGCGATATGAAAGAGGGCAATCGGGCTGCATGTGGGGTTTAATGAGTATGTTTGATTTCCGCCATGGTCGATCAACGCAGAAGCTGATTTCAGATAGGAGGCGTGGGACCAGGCATGCTGTTGGTAAGAACTTTCTTTGAGATGCAGATGAATCTGAATAGCTAGTGCACATGTGGCTGCATATAGGGCACAAACACACATCTACAGAATCTTTTTGTGTGGAAGGGATGGGTCAGTGCATGCAACATGCGCACAGTTTTCTTCAGAGTTCCATTGTTAACAAATTTCCTTAAATTGATGCGAATTTGGGAAGTGTCAAAGGACAGTGGTTGTGTGTGTAAGAAATTTTAATGATTGTGTTCTTGTCAAATATGTTAATCTGATTGTACTAATGCTGGACACTGGTCATTGGTTAAAGATACATTTCTAGTGCCCTGCTTTAAGCTTATGAAGCATATCGGGTGAATTTCTCTTTTCTTTTGCAGGTACTGGAACTCCTAAGAATAAGCTTAACAATCGTAATGAAAATCATCAAGGCACGATTGTAAGTGTTGACCACATATGCATCCAAACTCAATATGTCTTTCAAAATTTGCTTGATATTTGCTAGGAAGGAACTTACAGCTTAACCTGTTGTGATTGGTAAGCTATCTGTACATTACTTGACTTTTCCTATTTTAAATATACCAGGATGGTGAAGAGAGCAGAAAAGCAACAGATGATATCAATAAGCCGAGTGTGAAAAAGCTCATAGAAGAAGAGATGTTCAGTGAACAAGACATAAATAAGGAAATAAACAATCCTCAAGTAGAACCAAAACAGTCCAATTCAGAAACTGGAGACCACAAAACGAAGAACCACAAAAGAAGAAAAAGTCAAACAAAAAGTTGTGATATACACATAGAGGATCTTGATGTTGCTGAAAGCTTGGAATCTGAACAGCCTTGCCTTCATAATTTAGAGAAGCAATCTACAAACAGTCTTGATATAGGTGAAATATTGGAAGATTTCTGCTGCCAGATCCATCAGAAAAGCATAGGTTATGTGGAGCATGACCAGCATGATGAAGTTCATCATCAGCAGAACCATAAGAATCCCGACTTCAAAGAGAAATTGAGTGAGGCAATAAAACTCATAAATGAGAAACTTATTAACAGGAAAAATGTCACTGAAGATGGGGACCTCAGCCCATCCAAAGAACTGAGGGATGCACTTCAGATTCTTACTTCTGATGAGGAATTGTTTCTAAAACTCGTACAAGGTCCAAAGTCCATAATGGTGAAGCATGTTCAAAGCTTGTGGAATGCTCAGGTAGAGAAAGATGAAGACTCCAAGTCACTTGGTGAATCTAAGTTGCCGGAACAGGGGCTTCTTGACTTCAGACATTCTGATGAGGCTATCCATGGTAAGCAGCACAAATTTTTCAGAAGAAAAACCAAATCTCTGGAAAAGAACCCATCAAAGGAAAATAAGGCATCTCAAGCTTCAAATAGAATTGTTATATTAAAGCCTGGCCCGACAAGCTTGCTACTTCCTGAAAATGAAAGCAGTATTGGTTCATCGCCAGAATCTCAATTCATCAACAGAAACAAGGGACTAAATGCGAGATCTGGTTCCCACTTTTCTCTGACTGAAATTAAAAGAAAGTTGAAAAATGCAATGGGAAGAGAAAAGCAGGAAACCTCTTCTGATGGGACCTCAAAGAGATTTGCTGACAAACAAAAGGCTGTGGGAAATAGTGAGAAAGGATTCAAGGAGAACCTTGGAAGGAATTCTCCAAGTAAAGACCATTTCTTTATTGAAAAAATTGCTAGACCTCCCTTAAGTGGCAAAATGAGAGAGAAAACTGGCAAGTTGAAAGAATCTGAAATAAGCACGGAACATGAAGTTGCTATATATCCCAAGCAACGGGCATCTAACATCTACATTGAGGCCAAGAAACATCTCTCTGAGCTGCTGAGCACTGGCCAGGGGGATGTGGATTTTTCAAGTGGACAGGTTCCGAAAACCCTTGGCAGGATTCTCTCCCTTCCTGAGTACAATTTTTCGCCACTTGGTAGTCCAGGAAGAGATTGGGAGCAAGGCTTTCTGACAGCACAGATGAGATTTTCTGCCAATGACAAATTTCAGAAACATGAAACCAATGTCAGCCATTTAGGTCGAACAGCATTAAACTCAGAGCCTCAGTCATCTGTTTTCATTGACAGCGTCAGGGATGAAAAACAAGCTTCTTCAAACCCAAATGCAAATGCCTCAAATGAACTTCATGATAAAGAAGAGAAAACCTTGTGCTCTATTGGAGATGAGATGCCTTCTGAAGGTAGTGTTTCTTTATCATATGACATAGATAGATAAATCATCTTGCTGATAATTTTTCCCAATATTGGCCTTCTCAAAATTTTCTGCAGGTGATGTGGAGGTTGTAAAAGATACTGAAATTGCAATTGAAGAAGAGAGCAATTTCTTAGATACTCTCTCTGAACCAAGTCGCTCTCCTCTCTCTGAAGATCACCAAAATGGTGATATGTTTGAAGTTTGTGATACGAAAGAAAATTCGGAATGCTTGGAACAAGTAATTTTACTGGTTGCCTGTCGTTGTTCTTCATCACATATTTTTAACATTTTATCCTAATGGTTCTGCTGCTCCTTTTCAGGACTCATTTGAGGAAAATGAACCTCTATCTTCTTCACTAACATCTCCATCAACCTCTTCAAACACCAAAAAACTTAACTGTCTAGAGAGTACTTCTGAGATACCAGAGCGGCCTAGTCCTATATCTGTTCTTGAGCCACTTTTCACAGAGGAGGACATCAGCCCAGCAAGCAGCAGACTTGAACCTGGTAGGTCTTCATAAAGAAAGTTCAATGACTTCCAGTAGCTGTTTGGGACTTCACATCACATGGTTTTCAAGCTAATTTTAGTTCATTCTCTTATGTATCAGTTGAACTACCAGTGCAACCCTTGAGAATTCAATTTGAAGAATATGAATCTTCAGCTGCAGATCAAAACATCCCTCTGAAAGCTTCTATAGACGACAAGGAATCAGTATTTGAGTACGTAAAAGCAGTGCTTCAGGCCTCTGGCATGAAGTGGGATGAATTTTATATGAGGTCACATTCTTCAGAACAGCTTCTTGACCCATCAATATTTTTTGAGATAGAATTCTTTTCCAACCAGCTTTGTTGTGACAAGAAGCTTCTCTTTGATTCTATTAACGAAGTTCTCCTGGAGGTATATGGGCGGTATTTTGGTTGCTTCCCTGGGTTATCATGTGTAAAATCTACCATCCGGCCTGTCCCAGACATGAAAAATGGCATTTATGAGGTTTGGGAAGTTGTCTCTTGGCATCTTCTCCCATTGCCAATGCCTCGTACCTTGGATCAGCTCGTCAAGAAAGATATGGCTAAAACTGGAACGTGGATGGACCTTCGATATGATGTTGAAACTATCCTTGTTGAAATTGGTGAAGCCATTTTTGAAGATTTGATGGAAGAAGCCATCTTCGGAGATCTAATGGAAGTTAATTTATTCATCTGTGTAAATGAAAGTTCAGAAGGTGGAAATCGCTCTATTCCATCTGAGTTGAAGGAAAATGAGAGCAATCCGGACTCCTAGAAGACATTTTCTTCTATTCGTTTATTGACCAACCTTGTGTCTTGGTGGGAATGCAAGCAAGTCAATGCTTGTGCATCAGGAGGATGGACGATAACGCAAACATGGAGTAGCCTCATTTGGCCCTCTTGTATGACTTGACATGGTACTTCTTTAACTTTGCTGTTGAAATCATGTACATATAACACCACAGCTGGGAAGCTCTACTAAACACAAGGCATCAAACAAATGAATAAGGACCCACGCTACTTCATGGGCAAAAATACAAACCCAATGCGCAAGTGCTTCTTGCTGCAGTGTGAACTGCTTGATTTCCATGGCAGTTTTCGCGATCAGGACCAGATCAGTGCCCTGCACTCGGTGAGAATAGTAGCTTCCAACTCTGTAGAATTTGTAGAAATTGGTGTCTTGTGTCTTATTAAATTAGGTTGTGTGCATTTTTTCTTCTTTTGGGGCGTATTTAATTCATTCTTCTGTTGAGGTTGTGTTGATGTTTTTCCTTCTGTATTTACAAAGCTGGGATTGAGTTGTGACTATTTTAGTCGCTGGGGGGTATGACACTGAGTGGTGTGTGCAAATAACAAGCTGGGACTGTTGTGCTTTGAATCACTAATACTCAATACAGATTACATATACTTGATCTACATGATAACTGTGCTCTAGTTCAGTATTATACTATCCTTGATGTCCTAATATAATATTCCCGGACACACATGCTTAAGAGATATGACATTATCTTCATTAATCGTTAAAAAGAAGCAACCAAGCACTTCACCAAAATTCCCAAATTTTATGGAGCGTGTATTTAATCATCCATACCTGAATCCCATGTTTGATGTTTGTTCTTCTTCCTTCTTTTTCTCTGGGCCTCTTTATCTGTAACGTGATTGGCAAATTGCACTCTACCTCACTGAATAGGATTCATATATTTTAAGCTCGCAGTCATGGCCTGGACAGGAATTTCTTCTGCTAAAGAGCCTCCAGATAAAGCAAAAGGAGAGGTTCAAATGCTTCTCGAGCTAGGTTTGCATACCATAATTAAGCCTGTTCCTTTTCGAATTTGAGAGAGGAGGTAATCCATATTTAGATTGTTGTATTCTTAAGAAATCTCTTTCTCCTTACCTCCTTCTAATTTCAGACCTAAGATGATAAACCTGAGGCAAGACGCCAATGCTACTTATTGCTTATGTTGAAGCGTTAGATTTAATTAACAGAAATGCATCATCGTGTGCGCAAGAGCCCATGACTATAAACCATTCAAAAGGCATTATGCAACTTCAGGGCCTAATCAAGAGGCCTGTTAGGACTTCTCAACAACTGTTTGTGGTGGCCCTGCTAAGATACTCCAATTAGATGAGCTTCGTAGTTTACTAGGATATATGCATGTTTTTTTTTTTTTTTTTTTTTTTCAATATTGCCTCAAACAACGTTACCGTTTTGGGCTTTTGGCAATTTAAGAGGCCAACACCAACTCATTTACAAAAGGGCAAAACCCACAACATCTTGTGTCAGTTGAAAAATGATAAAATGGATTTGATTCAAGTCCTAAACCAACAGGAATTTACTGTAGCAACTCTAAGAATTTATTATAGCAACTGCATATTACATCAATTAATCAAACTATTGTTATCCATATAAAGCTAATTAGTAAATAATTTTTCAGGACACTCAACCATGGAGTTCGAATTTTATTGTATTGGATGATACAAACACTTTCCGGTTCCTATGCGCATGTCTCGTGGCGCGTAACGTGCATTTATGAAATCATATGCATCTAAGATTTTGAAAAATAAATAAAGATAAATAACAAAGAAAATCATATGCTGCACAACGAAGTACAAGATTAATTTAATCTTTGATGTGACAAGGAGCATTTCCTTAACATTATAAATATGCATTTACCCCACCTTACCCCCAAGTCCCGATGGTTCGGATTATAGATACCTTCATTGTTTTGCATTGTCATAAACAATTGTCAAATCGTCAATCCACAAAAGGAAGCTAGTAACCGAGCCCAATTTTCAAATGCCCTTGGAACAATCCACCCATCCAAATGGCCATCACTCTTGGTTTTATATTAGATTGTAACCCACACTTGGCTCCGGACGAATTTTTTGAAAAAAAAGCTAGGTGCATTTTCTTATTGTATTATTTGTTGATGTAAGTGTTGTGTAACTATATGATAAAGGTTTTTTATGTTATAAATTTTTATCACATTGAAATGCAAAGTCATTTAATAAGGACAAATTGAAATATTTCAAGGCAAGAAATGCATTTGTAGAGCTTCTCTATCACATGACGTGGGAAGTCAATGTATAGAAAAAGAAAAATTATAAACCAATAACATTGATTTGATAACATTTGTTATGTCCTTTGAGCAAAGCAAAATTTATAGTGGTCTAGGCTTTTATAGTCTCAATATGGTGATATTATTTTAACAATATGCATTTGAATGGATATGAGCAAAGCTATTTTGTTCCAAATAGCTTGTAGTAAAATGCACATAACTTAATTGCGATGTTTTAGCGTAAAAAATAGTGTTATATGTAGATGATAAGAAGGTTCTTTCAACTAACATAAATTGGCTTGCTCTATAGATAATTGGCCAAATAACTTCATGCTTAACTCAACATCAAACGCAATCCAAACAACCTCGATTTATCATCAAATTTGAATTTTAATAAGCTCTAACAACGTTAAGCATTTCCAATATCATAAGTCAAATCCATCACAAGACACATATATACAATCCTCCATTAAACCTATCTAAACTAAACCATCCTTCATCAACACTACTCTCCAATTATTCAACCAATCAAGCCAAGCAACCATAGATAAATCAAACCCATTAACAAGTCAAATCTATCACACAATAACACAATCCAATATCTTTCATTAAACTAAACAACCATTCACATGCATGCAAAACCATGCATCCTAATCTTAGTTGAATATATTGAACAAGTCAAGTCATCCAAAATCAAGTAACTACAAATAAACCTCAATTAATCATTCACAAAGCCATTATAGAATTATATCAAGCAACATTATCGTTATCAAATCAATAAGCCAAAGCCAAATTCATCCTAAGTTACCCAACACACATAAACCAATCTCAATTCACTCGTATGAATCACCAAAGTCATGAATATTCATCAATTAAGTTCAATCCAACAATTAGTCACATAACCCTAAACTAAGAATTTCCAAATTTACATAAACACCACATTATCCATCTAAATCTATAATTAAACATGTATCCATCATTATTACAATGGTCATTCACCAATTAATTATTTATTCAATCACATTATAGCATAAAGTCTCCATTTGATAACTAACCAAACCCTAGAATTTCTAAGTTTACACGAGCACCACATTTAAGACAAGCAATTTATAATTAAATACATGCCATGACCTCATATTAATTAATCATTGGTCAATTTCATAATCCAAATATCAATTTCACACAAATAATTCAAAGGCATAATTTGAAATCCTTGATTTCTCAAGAATATAATTCACCAAATAATTGCTCTAAGTCTCGTAGTGAGTTAAAAAGTTATACTTACCTTAGGTTTGATTGAAGATGAAATTACTTTAAAACCCTAAAAATCACACCTCTCTTCCTTCCCCAAATTTTTGACCAAAACAACCCCCTCTTCCTCTTCCTTCTTTTCGGCAATTTACTCCTCCTTTCGGCCAAGCTTACTTCTTCTTAGTAATTTCAGCTCCTCCCTTGGTAAATTTTGGTCTCTCTTGCTTTCTCTCTTATGATTTAGTCTCTTTTGCTCTCTTTCTCTCTTAGTGTTCGTGCTCTTTAAAAATAAAAGGATGGAGGCAAATGTAATGTTAAATAAAATCAAGCACAACTTTTCCCTTTTTATTTTCCTCTTTTAGCCAAAACTTTTATCCCAAAAAACCCTTAACGAGCCGCATGTCTTAGCGTGATATTTTACACTTAGATAATTTAATTTAGGTGGAACATCTAATTAGGCTATTATTTCCTAAATTAATATATGTTTAGGTCACTAGTTAAATTTGAAATCCTAACTTATACATGGACAATAATTATTTAATTGAATTATTTTTACTAAGCTTTTCACTTGTTAATTAATGTACTATTCACATATAACACTTAACAAAAGTTAATTTTGCAAATCAAATACTTATCACCAATAACACAAGCATGACATGGGTATATTTAGCAAAATAAATATTCACACAAAGTATAGAAATTAAATCTAGATGTTACACATATGGCTCTTGGGCATACATATCTAACACAGGGGAATTAAGAAGTCCATTTTTTTAGATACTAATTTCTATATAAAGGATGGATCGAGGACCAGTTCTATAAGGGTTTATGGTAACTAAATTTGGAAAGTTGGCTTGAGAGTACCTAAGGGTTAAAAACATAAAAAGAAAGAAAAAAAACTTCTATTTTTTTCCCTTTAATTATTCCTATCCTACCCTAAATTAGGTAAGTTTCTATTTCAACATGTGAGATTTATCTTTTCTAAGATAGATCTTCTCTCGTTCAATCTAATTCTTAATCTTATTTTCTCACCTATTTCTATGGCTCTATAGTGTGCACAAACAATGGTGTTGGTATTTAATATTATCAAATTTTAAAGGATAAAAAGCATATTTATCCCTCAACTATTACCCAACTCTTAATTGAGTTGCTCATCTATTGAACATTACCCAATTAACAAGACCTTTGTCTCTAAAATCATTAAAAAAAAAACTATTTGTCTTAATACAATGTTGTTTATGCCATAAATTTTAATGATGGAATTTATTTGCCGATGTTTAATAGATGGGGAATCCAATTGAAAATCATTTTCGTTTGAGAAATTATTTGAGAATTGTGTGATAATTGAAGGACATTCCTTTATCAATTTAAAATGATTAAATTTTCAAAATAAATCTAAAATCAATATATTGAAAGAGATTTTTTTTTCTCTTTGTGAATTAATTATTGAAGGAGTATGTTTACA